ATTATATTTATTTATTATATTTACGTTCCACAGTAAGTAGCATTTCCACTTTAATTTATAAATTGCCTACAAAATTTTAACTGAATATGTAAATAATTTGTTCATTCAAAGAGCTGTTTGTAATAGGTCATTCATTCATTTGTGTTGTGTGGAATTATCACGCCATTGTCGTAAAGATTATTAAGTTTTTAAAACGGTATATTGCGTGTAGAACAAACATGTTTATACAATTGTATCACCATATTTCATATAAAATGTGTTCCTGGACTCGTAGCTGCTCATTAAACTCAGTTTACCGTTGCGAAAATGTTTCCCATTTCTGTTGCTCTGTTGAGTACTCTGAGCCTCAGTGGTGGGCTAGTAAGTGCATTGAGTGATCGTGCCAAGGATAACGGAGATATATTTATAATAAACTATGACAGCTTCGATGGCGATGTGGACGACATATCGACCACCACCGAAGCACCTAGAGATCCCGACTATATTGACTTTGATGCGATTATGCATGGCTGTAATGCAAGTTTCATTACACCCATGTGTGAGTTCAGAAGTCCACAAGTAGGAGTATAATTACCTAACAAAATGTTCTCCTTTTAGCCAATATTCTGCAGTTCAATAATACGGGCAAACTAGCCGATGAGACAGATTTGACTAGCATGGTATGTGACTCACAATCCAAAATTAAAGAGCTAAATCTGATCATTTTTAATACTTTGCAGTGTTATTTCCGCTGTTTCTTCGAAAAGGCCGGTCTAGTGGAAAACTTCAAGCTAGTGCCGAACATAGTGCGCAAGTATATGTGGCCAGCGACGGGCGATTCCATCGAGTACTGCGAGTCGCAGGGCAGTAAGTAGAGCAATCGACTGCGCTGTAGAGGTTAACTAAAGTAAATTTAATACTACTGCAGTTAATGAACAGAATGCTTGCAAGAGGACCTACGCCATAGCGCAATGCGCTATGATGCGTGCTCTGACGGATGCCCGGAACAAGCCAATGGTTTGATTATCACATTATTCTGTTTAAAAATTACAAATAGTTTATAATGTGTACTTAATAAATATGCCACGGCCGTGCGCAGAACATTTACTACTCTACTTTTCATCTAGACTCCTGCGTATCCGCCGATTGTTCAAGGGGCGTGGCACTGCTGCAGACCGTGTTGCTATAGTTCAATAAGCGACTTAGTCTCTTGCCAATCGGCTTGGGGTATTGATTAGTTTTCATCAGGTATTCCTTAGACTGATGCTCGACGGCACCATTGTCCAGCTGGTATTTGCACAAAGCATGCAGTGGGCGAACCAACAGCTGACGCAGCTCTGGCTTCGATTCCAGCACCGCCAGACACTGCGCCGCTGTCTCCAGCGTGCTTAGACAGCCCTCAGTGGGCTGTGTACGTATAATGTAGTCACTCACACCCACCGCAATTAGTTTGACTTGTCGCAGTTGATGCAGCGCCGGACTACTAGCATAGATGGCCTTTGCTTGGGGCCAGGTGCCGTCAATTAGCACCAGGGTATAGGGACCCGCACTGCGATCAATTTCCTCCAATGGTACCGAATCTTTGCTGGGATACAGTAGAAGCGTCTGGGGCGAATCCAGAACCTGCTGCAGCTCAGGTGGGTGGCGAGCATTGGGGAATCGCTTGCCCTTGTAGACCACGCACTTGCCAGGCATCAGACCTAACTGCAGCATAAGAGCTGTACGCAGCGAACGTTTTTCCTCGGCAGGGTGTTGCAGAATCACAATTTGAGATGCCACCGCAACGGGCGGCTGAGGCAGTGAGGAGCACCAGCAAACAACAACGGGTCGTCTATGGAAGGCGTTGCTGCATTAAATTGGGCTTACTTTGGTGGCATTCACTTACTTGCACTTGTCGCATTTATGGCGTCGGTCAGGCGGATCGGCGCTAATACCAATAAGGTCCTTCCAAACTTCGTCCGTGGTAATCATCATTTATTAAAATGGAAGAATTGTTTAAAATTGCGTTAAAAAATATATAGTTGAATTGAAATGCTGAAATTGCATCAGGTGGCAACGCCGCGTCAGCATGTTCCATGTGTTGCGGTTAACAGCCCTGTTCTTGCTAAACAGCTGTGCTGCGCGACATTAATTAGTTGTTGTTTTTAGTTAGTTTGTTAGGGTCGACATTTGTGCGCTTTGTACATAATTAATTGGAGAAAGTAAAATGCAAAGCATTGGATGGACGTTAATTGTGAAACGTGGCTGCTTTTGCAGCAAAGAAAGGCTCAACATCAATGGCTCCCGCTATACCGTCCGAGAACGCCTGGCACAGGGGTAAATTCAACACCAAATATAAGAAATTCCCGTTACAAAAATGTTTCCAAAAGTTTCTGATGTATTGTATATACTCCTTCGTGCACATATTTACCATGCACCAGCTGCTCCACTGTGCTGCACTTGAGAAAACTCATATACAGCAGTAATTGCCATTAAATGATAGTTCCATTCCATTTGCCAGTTGCCCCCATATAGGGTACAATTAACATAGTTACACAGCTTTTACTATCTTATCTCAATTATTACACTATCTGCTGCAGGGGCTTTAGTTTAATTGACCTGGCGGAGAATGTGGCAACGCGGCGCTGCTATGCGATAAAGCGAGTCACTTGCCACAGCATCGAGGATCAGAATATTGCCCTGCGCGAAATCGAAAACTGTCGCAAAATTGACTCGGAACATGTCATTCAAGTCGTTGACTACGAGCTGGTCGGCCAGGCGGACATTGTGATAAACACAACGAGCACGTTGTTCATTGTACTGCCTTACTACAAGCATGGCTCGCTGTCGGATCACCTGCAGCTGCGCGCTCGCAAACAGGATCATATGCCCGAGGCGCAGATCCTGCAAATCTTTTTGGGCGTCTGTGAGGGTCTGCGTGCAATACATGAAACGAAGCCAGTGCCGATGGCTCATCGTGATCTGAAAACTGCCAATATATGTTTATCCGACTCATTCGAGCCCATCATTGTGGACCTCGGCTCGATGACGGAGGCGCGTCTGCAAATTTGCGGCCAATCGGATGCACAGCGGCTCCAAGACGAGGCTGAGGAGCGCAGCTCAATTGTCTATCGGGCGCCCGAGCTGTTTACTGTGAAAACATATTGCACCATTGACGAACGCACGGATATATGGGTAAGTAACATATATATAGTATAAGTCAACTTTAATAAATGCTTTAATTTTATTCCTCTCAGAGTCTCGGTTGTGTTCTGTATGCAATGTGCTACTTTAACAGTCCATTCGATCCCATCTATGAGCGTGGCGACAGCGTCGCCTTGGCCGTGCTCAGTGGCAATGTAAACATTCCTGAAGATTCCATTTACACAGAGGTAAGTCAATTAGCTTATGCCCAGACTTCAGTTAACTATATTCCCTAATTTCCATAGGATATGCATGAGCTAATAAAGTACATGCTGCGCATCGATCCCATGGAGCGACCGTTCATCTACAGCGTTATCGAGCAAACGCACGATCTTATACAGAAGTTGGAAGGACGCGTTTAGCGAATTCCGATTCAATCCTAGTACACCGCTATACATAATTGTTTTGGACTACGTTTTATTGTAATATATATAAATGTGTGCGTATTTTGTAAAAGTAACATTTAATGATATAATGAAAATAGATTTTAAGCTAATGCTCATCCCGTGTCTCACCCGGACAATTTCTGTCCAAATCCTCAATGCTCTCGTAATGCGTTCCACACCAATAACAGAATGTATAGGCCGTGCGCAAGTAGCTTGTGAGAAGCTCTAACTGCTCCGCCCCACTGTATAGCTCTTCTTTCTCTTCCTCTGACTCTGCTTGTTTTTCGACAGGCTCATCTCCTTCTGTCTCGATGCTTGGTTCTATGGGTTTTGGGGGCCAGAAAAAGTCCAGCTCTGGTTCTCTGACGCTTGCTGCTAAATCCAAGGACTCGCACGTTTGTTGGCAACGTCGTATATCGTAGTTGAGCTTCCGTTCTTCTGCTTTTTGTGTAGCTCGGCGTCGATATGCCTCAGTGCTGATTTCCTCAACAGATTGAATGCCTGCTTTTCGTAACCGCAGTTCCTGTCGCTTAGCTGCTAGCTCGGCTATTGCTGCCTCACGGCCCAGTCCTCCACGATCATTTTTGAAGCTTATCCCAATGGGCTCAATGCGTGCGTCTGCCTGTTTGCCTAATCCACTGCCTGCTTTGTAGCCCATTTTGGCCAGCAGCTGGAAGCCTTTGTTGTCCGCAGCAATGGGCTTGTTGAGCGACTCTTGAAGCCGAACATTATTCGCTGTCGAAGCATTTGCTGCCTCACGCTGCCGTTTACTGTTTTCCGCTTGCTCTGATTCCACTCGGATCAGTCGCTTTTTTGCTCGATTGTTCACCAAGCTGGGCCGCACATCTTGCAGGCTGTAAGAGCAATAGGACTTAAAAAGTGTGAATAACTGGGAGTCTGGTGTATTATTTACCCTGACAAGAACTTGTCGGACATGTAATCATCCTCTTCTTCAGACATCGAGATAATACCACTAACCAAATAGTGATAATACTTATAGCAAAACGTAAACAAACCAAAACATATGTATTTGACACTGAACTGTAATTGCAGCTGGCGGCGGTCGATACATAAGAAATATCGATAGTTTTTATTTTCGGTACGGCACTATCGACCAAGACTCAGCGCTATTAGCAAGTACCATGTGCTCGCGTTTATTTTATTAAATAGCAGCTTTTATTTGTTTAAAACTAAATAGAATGGGCACTGTAAGTATGATTGTTAGCACTCTAATACACACTCAAATTAAAAACTTTGAAAATTTGCAGAAAAAAGTAAAAATCAGTTCGGTGAAACGTGCCGCTCATTTGAAATCAAAAAAGGCACCGCTGAGCAAACAGCAACAACAAAAAATTAAACAGAAGCGAGAGCAACTGACATCAAAACGAGAAAATGGACAAAATATCTTTTCACAGAAAGCCCACAAGCGTGACAATCTAGCGCAGCGCAAGAAGCACAATAAGCAGCAATCACTGGGACTGCACAGAGAACTCAATGCAGATGATGATGATGATGATGACGTTGGCGGCGATCAACTGTTGGACAACGTTGCAGACATGTTGGACGGCGATGATCTTGCACTGCTGCAGGCAAACAAACGAAAGCGTAAGGCGAAGGCGGATCCTGTGGAAGAACAGCAGCAATCTGTGGGTCTGGAAATGGCCTACACAACGGCTAGCAAAAAGGAGCAAGCGGCACAAAAGATAAAAGTTAACTTGTTGCCCATTAAATCTCGCGACGGCGAAATTATAACGCGTACCACAGAAGTTGACTATGTGCCGAAGCCCAAACGGAAGGCAGTGGCCGAGGAGGAGCAGGAGGTAGATGCTGAAGAGGATGAGAATGAGGAAGACAGCGATGAGGTATTCGAGGACAGCGACGATGATATAGTTAACGATGAGGCACCCGTGCCCAAGCAAAAGCTCGTGTCCACCACAGATTTGTTAATTGCCCGACAGCAGGAAATCGAACGTCAGAAATATCGCATAGGTATCATCTGCTCTGGAATCCTGGAGAAGCCGGAAGATAAAATGCGCAATTTCAATGCGCTCTACGAGCTGATGAATGATGTGAACCCAGAAACTGGCATTCCCAATCTTTTCGCCGTGCGCAAACTGGCGATGATCTCCATTACTGAGATATTCAAAGATATTCTCCCAGAGTATCGAGTGGGCCAGATAGATACCAAGATGCAAACGGTGCGCAAAGCCACGCTAGAACGTGTTACCTTTGAAAATGCACTGCTGCAGCAATTCAAGAAGTTCCTGCAGAAACTGGAACACCTAACGGCTCAGGTCAATAAGCGGGGTGGCCAAAAGACGCCACAAGCCATCAAAATTGCCGCGGTGGCCGTGCAGTGCATGTGTGACCTGCTGTTATCCCATCCGTACTTCAACTACGTGCAAAACATAGCCCAACTCCTGGTCTATATGCTCAACTGCAACTATGGAACAATGCGCGTTGCCGTCAATCAATGCTTCCGCACGTTGTTCAGTAACGACAAAAAACTGGATATGACACTCTTTGTGGTTCGCCGCATCAATCATCTGATCAAGTCCAAGCAGAACAATGTGCATGTCGAGTGCATAACATGCATGATGGGCCTGAAGATCAAGCATGTCAATCTGGATGCAGAAAAGGAAAATGAGCTGAAGCAAAAGAAACTGGAATCCCATCGTCAGCGTTTGCTAAGCTTGTCAAAGAAGGAGCGGAAGCGTCGCAAGAAGCTCACCGAGGTCAACAAGGAGCTGGAGGAGACGCGCGCCGAAGAAAATAAACAGACGAAGCACCACAAACTAACGGAAATTATCAAAATGGTGTTCACCATATATTTCCGAGTGCTCAAGAACGATCCCACGTCGCGTGTGCTCAGTGCAATTCTAGAGGGCCTGGCGGAGTGAGTACTGAAATGAATATTACCAAAAATATTCGCTAATTTATATCACATCTTACAGATTCGCGCATGTCATAAACCTGGAATTCTTTGCCGATCTCATAGATGTGCTCAACCGCATACTTGAGGAGCAGGACTTGGGCTACCGCGAGCAGCTGCATTGCATCCAAACCATCTTCGTTATACTGTCCGGTCAAGGTGAAGTCCTGAACATAGATCCCATTCGCTTTTACCAGCACTTCTATCGCAACATGCTGGTCGTGCATGCGGGCAAGAATCATGAAGATTTCGCCATTATCCTTCGCACCCTGGATGAGGTGCTCGTCAAACGGCGGCGCAACATGAGCCAGCAGCGTCTGATGGCCTTTGTCAAGCGACTGCTCACGGGCAGTCTGCATCTGTTGCACAACGGGACTTTGGCTACTCTGGGCACCATTAAGCAGACATTCCAGCTGACCTCGGTACTGGATGCCCTGCTCGATACAGATACCACAATTGGCTCGGGTCGTTATGATCCCGAATTGGAGGATCCGGAGTACTGCAATGCAGCGAGCACCTGTCTCTACGAACTCACGCTACTTGCTCGGCATTATCATCCCACAGTGAGACGCATGGCTTCGCATATAGCCAATGGTGTGCCAGCATCTGGCGAAGGTGCTCTGCCCACAGACATTGGAAAACTGTGAGTTATATCTTAGCTGTAATATCGAAACTAGAAACTTACAAATCTATTTATCACCTCCAGCAATGCCCATGAACTCTTTGCTCAATACGACAGCACGCAAATGGCTTTCAATCCCACTATACCGCTGCCAAAGCAGGGCGAGCCCAAGCTGAAACGGGGCAGGCATATGTATTTACGTTCGGACTTCAAGCAACATTATGGAAAGATACTTAAGGATGCGAGGACGAAACGAATCAAGTCTAAAGAGGTGCTGCAAATGGATTTCCTCAGTGAACTCACTAAGCATTGAGCAGTGACAAAGGATCGAAGGGAAACCCCGTTTTAATCTTCATAAACATTTTCTTATAGAAACCTCTACACTAACTACAGCTATGCAGAATTCTGTTATTACTAAAATGGACCTTTTCAAGCTCTACTATTGTAAATAAATATAATTTATATATACAAAATGATTTGAGAGTAATGCCATTTATATAGTAAAAATCGGAATACAAAAGAATTTAGTTTTAAATACATAGGTTGTGTAAGGAGCTCCTAAGTGTGTGTGTGTGTGTGTATGTTATTGCTAATTAAGCTAAGCCTAGGGTCTAAGATCGGGTCTATTGCCATTTTACCGGGTACAGATGCTAAGATTCGTTTACGCTTATACTTGGTTGCGTTGCTGGCGTTGACCCGCGCCGGCTGGCGGCAGATACTCCCGATTGCCAACTGCCACCACTGGCTGGGCAAAGCTGCCGACAGCATTATCGGGCAGCAAGCCCGCAGCTGTGGCTGCCAGTCCGGCAGCGGCAGTTGCCGGAGCTAGGCGATTGGCACCCGTAGCAGCGGCTGTGCCGGAGACACTAGCAGGACGTATAATGGCGCCGGCACCATACAGAGACTGCGACTGCGACTGGGCCGGCGTGGGTGAGGGGGTTGCATAGGCGCCACGCTGTGCATTATAGCCTGGGACCTGGGATGCACTGGTAGTGCGCAGACCACCGCCTGGCGCGGATGATGGAGCAACTCCACCATAGGCCGTATTCACCGGCTGAGAGCCACTTCGGTAGACATTGGCATTCAGATTGACATTGCTGGAACTGGAGCTGGCACCACTGTAGTCGTAGATGTAGGCATTGTTGGCATACAGGCTGGGCGCCGAGACGCAGTCGTATTGATTCCACCAGACGCAGACTAGCGTCTCCTGGCTAAACACTGTTCCGTTGGGGCACAGGAAGGAGAAGGTGCGATTGAGTGCGCAAATGTGGAAGACCTGGCATTGAGCCTCGATGTCCGCATAGTAACCAGGCAGTGGCTGCTGGGCGCAGTCGAAGTTGGTGCGCGGCACTTGGGCATACACGGGATAGTCTACGCCAGCCACACCAGGTATGGCCGAGTAGTCGCCGTCGGCACCGTCGGAGTAATCGTCTCCAGCAGACGCACGTTGTCCCGACGAGCCAACAGCAGTGTTGCTGTACTGCGTCTGTGGGCCGTACGGACCTCCGCGCGCTGTAGTGGATACACCCTGCAGACCAGAGCCAGTGGGACGTCTGGGCAGGTTGACGGTGCTGCTCACAGCAGCTGCAGGTGCCCCAAATGCAGTCGTTGCTTGTCCACTGGGTGTATAGCCCACAGCTGGAGATGGAAACAGTCCGGCCCCATATGCGGTGGCCGGTGCAGGCGTCAAGGGAACCGCTGTGCCCGTGGGATAGGCGCCAGGCTGTAAGCGAGCCGCAACAGCTCCGCCGCCCGCTGTGGTGGCCAGCTCCGGACGCACATAGTTATAGCCACTCTGAGCCTGATCCAAGAAAACACAAAATTCTTAAAAGAATTCAACTGAGATCCTGGAGCCAACTCACCTGCACCTGCAACTGTGCTCCACTTCCGCTCCAAAGCAGCAGGAAAACTGAAAGAAGTGAATGCAAAAACATTAAAGCTTTCTAAACGCGCTCAGTCTGGCAGAGATTTGACTATTCGCTCCGAGTTTCTAACCAACCGACGCAACAAATGGAAATGAACTGAGGCGCGCTGCTTCGGCATCGGACGGCCCACGTCCGATTTAGGGCCAAGAACGTTGCCAGATGCGAAGCGATGCTTGGTGCTGATAGCGAACGCGGACGGTTCTACATCTTCTACGATCTTTATTTATCAGTTTCCTACTCAGGTGTCTGCCACAGTGGGGCAAAGTGTTTGATATTCAGAGGAAAATGTGGAAAACTGAATGAATTTCAAATTGATTTCAATTAGATTATGCTAAATATTTGTTATGAATTGGGAATTGAATGACCAAATGGAATTAGACTGAGGCACGATTTGATGTTCGATTTTCGCCTTTTCGTTCTACTGTACTACTCAACGCACCGCCTCATCAATGGGCTGGCAAGTATTGCGATTGCTATTCGCTTATGGCCAAAAACAAGACGCATGCCTCGTAAATATGCAAGGCAGCAAAAAGTTAGA